CTTCTCACAGCTCTGGATTAGAATAGCAGGGTATACTGGGCTCTGTAACTTTGGTTGGCAGCAAGTCTAAGAGAAAGGCACTTATGAATTTTAAACCATGGTGAAGGCAATGGGGAAATCACTCCATTTCCCAAGAAAAGCATAACAGATATTAAACAAAAGGAAAATGTGTCGGTCCATGATTGTCTATGTTCTGAAAGGACATGGTATTAAAAAATAAGGGCATGATACTTTTATTTGTTAATCATGAGTTTTTTACTAAAATCTGATTGAAAAAAAAAGTTGGGACAATTTTTTTGTTGTTAGCAAGTAGCAAATTTCTTAATACCATGCATATTTTAAAATCTTTATTATAATTGAATGATATAAGATAATCTTGAATGATATATTGCATCATATTGGATAATCTTGAATAATATACTGAATCATAGATATTGTCTTATACAAATAACTTTATTATATAGGATACTGGTCTATTCTATAAGTAAATTCAAAATCTGAATAATATTAAGAATTGATTATAAGAAAAAGAAAATATTAATGAAGTCACCATTGTAAAGATTGTTATTGTTTGATTAAAAATATGGAGTAAAATATTGTTTAATTATTTTGCAATTGCTTTATTTCACTCTCAATAAGTGATTAATAAGAAAACAATTACTGATAGAATAACCTTCAGTTGTCTTTAGTTTTACTTGATAGACATTTTTGAATACATATTCTTACATTAATAAAAGGTGTTATTAATTTCATCAAAATTACATGGTTGCTTTAAAAGTGCATCTATTTAATAATCACTACTAGTATAAATACAACTGTCATTTTGCAAATAGCACTGCAATCACAATTTGACCAATATTATTTCTTCTCAACTGTACTACCAACTGATAGCTGCTTTCACTTACTAAAATGTTTGTAATTTTACTTATCAATAAATATACACCGATAGCCATGTTTGTTTATAAAATGCAATATAAAGTAGTTACTGATAAAGATATTAGCAACTATGTTATATTGCATTTTATAAACAAACATGGTTATCTATGTATATTTATTGATTAAACATACATGGCCATGTTTTTTTGTTGAAGTTGGACTGGGATCTTGTACAAAGCAAAGTGGTTCCTGCCTAACAGGATTTTTCATAATGATTTGAGGCAAAGTTTTACAACAATTATAATAATATTAATAATAGTTTTTATTGAGACACCACTTCTAGGAAGGTTGCCATTCAAGGTTTGATATCTTGGCTTATATATATATATATATATATAATAAAGAGAAAGAACAGTAAGATATATAATCTGGTGTTCTTATTAATTATTTTTATTTTTACAAAACAGTGCTCAATGCAAATCTATAGAGCATAAATATTATAAATTTACTAATTTAAAAATATGGTTCCATCACTTATGTAATTATTTTTAAATTAGTAAATTTATGATATATAATATCCAACGCCAATAGCACGACTCAGTTTCATACAGTTTCTGCAATCTTCAGGTGCAAATACAATTGTATTTGCACCTGAAGATTTCAGAAACTGCATGAAACTCCAAGCTGTGATATCTACATTGGGTATTATGTATATTCATTAATATAGACTTCTAGCTCTGTCTTTATAACACCTGTAGAAGAAATATATTTATACATATGTAAAATTTTTCAGGCATGTATGCATGTTTTTTATTATATATATATGTGTGTGTGTGTGTGTGTATCTGTAGGCTGATTTTAAAAAGCTCATTCTCCCTTCAACAGGTCTTGTTTTTTGTCTTTTTGGGTGACATACCACCCTCCTCACCAGCAGAAAAGCTAGTGGGGAAGCTTGTTTAAATGCCAAGCACCTGTTTATGTGGCAGGTTTTACTGGGTTACATGTTACCAGTAGCAGTCCTAAACCTGACCTGAGAATAAAGACTCCACTAAATTATGTAGACATTAACTATTAATTTATAGCACAGTACTAAATAATTGTACTTTTATATTTACAATTTCAAATTCAACAAAGTATCATTTCTTTAAATTTTTATACCTTGTTTGATTCTGACTAATATCTTCATCTTGACTGTTACTATCACAATATTTCAACCACTGCACACTCCAGTCTTCTTTAGGTACCTGTCATAGTTGTTAACTTTCTGGCTATTCTGAATTGAATCCTTTATTCAATCGATAGGCATAGATTGTTCTCATTTTACTGTCTATAGTAAAGGATATTTTGTATCAGTTAATTTAGGTACTTCCATGAGATCGCTAAAAAAAGAGCATAGCATGATGAAAAAAAACTCCAAACTTGACAAAAACAAAATTGTATCGTCTAAATGTTTATGTTATTATTAGGAGGAAAGATCAAAGTATTTTGGGGGAATATTTTTTACATTTTTTAATCGTTCCTAGCACGTTCGAAATTTTCGTTTTTTTTGTTGTTTTTTTTTTGAGTCAGCAAAATTGACCATTTTTTCCATTTTATAAAAAAACGGAAATCTCACTTTGAAATTCTTTTCAATATCAATTATCATTTTTTCAAAACTTATTTTCAGAAAATCAGAACTTATAATGTTTATTTAAAATATTTTGAACCAAGCTTAACTTAGCTTCTGCACCGGAAAGATGTAATTTGAAAATAAAACAAAGCAGGTCATAAACTTTTGTGCCACTTGATATGTAATGAATGACATATTGATGGATTCCGTGAGGCTAATTTGTTCTACAGGAGGAGAAAAGTGAAATAATTTACATTTAAGTGAACAAATTGTTTACCTTGTTATTTTTAAGGAAAACTTTCAGCACTCTAATTTTTTTTTTTTTGCACTTTCACCTTTACGTTTACGATGTTTTATGGAAAATATATTATAAAGAAATTAAAATAAGACTGTTAAGAGTAAGATTAAATTTCATATTTCATAAGAAAGGTATCTAATTAATTTATAGGTACCTTTCTTATCAAATTTTATCAGAAGTGTACATAAAATACTATAATTTTATGTACATTTATTACATTTTACTGTGTTATTTGTATTTCCATTCATTTTATTATTAATTTTGAGATTTCATTTATGGAAAAATGTCATAACTGAGATTAATATAAAAATAAGATCATATAAATTTCATAAGATGGTACCCTTCTCAGTTGAAATTGAAAAATCAAATTAACTTCTCCACACGTGTTTTGCAAAAGTAAAGGCCTTAACAGTGGAGAACAATGCTTAACTCAAATAATGCAACTTAATTGTATTCTGGTTGGTCTTCCGTACGTTATAATTACAGCCTGATTATAAACACAAAATTACATTTCTTAATTACTGCAGATCTTTTGATTAGTTAAAATGATACAATTTACAACATGCTAAAAAAGATCTATCTCATAAGGAGACAGAGGAAACCTGATGCGGCTTTTAACTAATTTTATAATATTTTAAAAAATTAAATGTAAAAATCTATTATGATTAAGAAATAAATAATTGTATTAAAAATTCATTTTTCATCAAAAAATTTTTTTGCTTTCAGAAAATATTGTCCATATTCATAAAAACAACTAAAAGCAAATAAAAGCATTTGAAATTAAATAATATCTTTGTTTTATTGAGTTTTGTATGTTACAATTCAGAGCTAATTTTCAGGTGTGTGTGGGGGGTCCAATTACAAACAAAAAAAAACATTTGCAGTCCTCAAAGCCTTGTGCTTTTAACTATTGTAATCATTAAACTAGACTCAATCGAATTTCTAGCATTTTCATAAAATTAGTTATGGGGGGAGTAATAAATATAAAAAAAATATTTCTGCCATGACTTTAATAAAAAAGAAAAAACATTTATAATAATTTTGATCATCTGTGAATAGTTCCTGAAAGTTTCATTAACATCTGACAATTATTTATATTTTTGCAAGATTTTCCAAATTAATGTGTCATACCAAAAAAAAACGTGCTAAAAATTGTCTATGTTATTTACTAGTTCCACTGATACAAAGAGAAACAAGGTTTTTTTTTTGTTTTTTTTTTTTTTATCAAAATTTAGAATGTTCTAAAAAGAAGGAAATATTTTAAAAAATAATTAAAAATAAAAACTTTGGTCTTTCCTCTTAATAATAACATAAGCATTTAGACGATAAAATTTTGTTTTTGGCAAGGTTGGCATCTTTTTCATCAAGCTATGCTCTTTTTTTAGCGATTTTGTGGAGGTACCTAAGTTTAATTCATTCTTGTAAATTCACTGTTCTCTTCTACTGAACCAGAGGAAAGGATTTTTTTTTTATCATTAGTTGACACATGGATTGAACTCTCAACTACTAAATAACTTAATTCACTAGCTCATGGTGTCCTGGGTATGATGATAAACTACACCTGGCAACAAGACCTTTAATTGGGAGGTTGGAGGTTTGAATAGCATGGAACCACAACTTAATTGTTGTTATTCTCAGGTCCACCCTAATTCTGAGGTGGTAGCACCTGTTAGGGCTTCAGCTATAGGCAAATAGTGAACCCCAAAACAAAACACTATGAAAGTATAAAAATACATTTCTATATTAAAATACAAGCAATAGATGTTTATATATAAAAAAAATGACAGATACATTTTATAGCAAAATGACCAACAACACATTTTATCTGCCGTTGAAGGTATATTATTGCATTCCAAATGTTTAGATTTTGGCATTAAATAACCTATAGAGGTTGATATGTCACTAAATAGAACCAACCAACCACTATAACTCATGTGTCCTGTTGGAGAATTCAGTTGTAGAATTTGTATCCTTATACTTGATGTCCAACTTTGAAAGCCATGAAGGTTGGAGATTACAATGGCTAAAACAGTTTAACAATAACAACTAAGATAAGGACAAATCAGTGTATGATGATGATGATGATGATGATGATGATGATAATTTGATCATTTTTAAGATAATTTGAAAAAGATTCACTAGAAAATTAAAAGAAAATATTATTAATAACTCTTCTATTTGTATAACTGATTGATTTTGTTTTATTAATTTAAATAGGTTTTTTGCCCAGTCGTCAAGTCCAGCAGAATCCAAAATGGAGATAACTTCACAAGAGAGGCCTAAAATTGACAAACTTGCCTTCAAGTCCCCCAATCAGCACCGGTTTGAACGTAATCGCTTAAGCAGTATGGAGAAGAACTCTTTGTCAGTCTCCAGTGAAGAAATTATGCATAAGGGTCGGACTTCATCAAATGCTTCTGCCTTTTCTTGGAGACAACAACAGTTTGTTCGTAACCAAAGCATGGACAATTTTTCTGCTCTGAAGAGTGGTAACAATCAGGGAAATGTGAACCAACAGTTCCAAATCCCAAGCCTTCATTGCAACCCCCTTGTACGGCATAACTCGGACGGTGGCAGCCGTATTGGTGGAGGCCGTGATAACAGTACCCGAACTGTACCAATGCCAGACAGTGAGGCGTACACGTCTCGAAACCTGGATAATGAGTGTGGCCAGTCAGATATCAACCAAAGTGTTACTGCCAGCACATTTTTCAATATGTCACGATGTCCGTCAATGAATCTAAGTGAGAGCCCAGGTTCACAAGATGATGATGATGCTGAACAGGGCTCGCAGAAGCACACACCAGTTAACTCCCCTATTGAGTCTTGGATAGGATCAACAGAGGTGAGTGAGATTTGATGTGAAAATTGTTAATGAATTTTTTGGAGGAAGCTTTTATATGACTCTTATTTGTCTTATTATTAGTTTTACTCTTTATTGCAGCTTCTTTCAGTCAATGAACCATTCAGCTACCAAGACAAACAGCAGAAAATTTGTAAAATAAAACACAGGGGCTTCACATGAGATTTGAACTTGTATTCCATTCATAATGGTAGGGCTGTGGAGTCGGAACACAAAACCTTTGACCCCCAACTCCTCTTTATCTAATTAAATGATTATGGGTGAACAAATCTAATGAAGCCGATGCATATGTTCCTAACTTAAGTAGGCCTATATCATTAGAACTGGTTTATATCAAAGAATAAAGATATTGTGGCTTTTATATCATACCTATTCATTTTTCAATATTTTCTAACAGAATTAGAGACAAAATATTTCAAAGGATATAGAGGAACTAACAATAGAAATAAAAATGCTATAATGTAAGACTTTTTACACACACACACACACACACACATATATATTTCTTTCTTTGCAAAACAAGATATATATATATATATATATATATATATATATATATATATATATAAAGACATTTTTATGTTTAACGTTGTTATTTATAGATACAAGTATTTAAGCAAATGCTCTGTTTATGATAAACAATATTAAATAACATTTACCGGTGAATGTCAAGGTCAATTTTCTGTTTATAAAATAAGGTTCTTTGTGGCCGAGACGAACCTGCATCTATCTCAGTGTATATACACTCATTACGGATGCAGGTCCTTCTCCTGTCAAAAGAACGAATATTTTCTATGAAAATTTCTGTTTATTCAGGCAAAATGTTATTTAATACTGTTTATCATAAACAGAGCATTTGCTTAAATACTTGTATCTATAAATAACAACGTTAAACATAAAATGTCTTTAATAAATAAATTGTCGGACCTTGTCCATTTCTTAACATATATATATATATATATATATTTCTTTGCAAAACAAGATATATATATATATATATATATATTATTTCTTTAAAAACAATATATATATATATATATATATATATATATTTTCTTTGCAAAACAAGAAATAAATACAGAACAAAAATAAAACTACTTTATAACAGCAGCTGAAATATAATCTTTCAGAGGATGTAAAAGACATAACAAAAATAAAAATTCTATAATGTAAGAATATTTTACATATATAGTTTTGAAAGTACAGAATAACTACAAAAAATAAAATGACTTTAAAAAAAGAAGTTAAGATAGATTTCTTTAAAGGAAATAGTGAATATACAATAGAAGAAATCAAAAATCAAAATTCTATAATGTAACACTTTTTACATAAAGTGTAAAATCAACTGGAGTCAGAGTTGGTATAGTTTCTTCCATGTTTCCAGTTAATCATAAAAAAAAAAATTTCTTACAACTCTGACTCCAGTGACCCCTTAACTGCTTCCAACTCTAACTCTGACACCAACTTCACAACCCTTCATGATGGCTTTAGTGATGAAAGTGTTTCTTATTTATTTCTTTGCTCTAGTGCTTGAAGAGTTTACCAATCCAGAGTCTCATGATAACTATAATAAAGTTTTTGTTTTTATTATTTACATTTAAAGTAAAAATTGCATAATGAAATGGTTCTAAGTGAAATATCTTATAACATTAAGAATTTTATTTGTGTGTAAAAATTTTTTTCCATCAAATCATTATTGAAGTGTTAAAAAGATGGACTAGGTGGTTGAGTTTTGTAATATTGAAGGTTTTAAAATAATTTGACTGGAAACACGGAAGATCCTTGACAATTTTTTTTATGAAGAAATTTTAAATATAAGTCTTTGAAAATTGAATTTTATCTTTTATTTCGAGCAGTATGGGGATACAAAACTTGTAGTAAAATTTGAACTAAAATTTCTCATCAAACACTACATCAAATGATGTGAAATCACATGCAGAATTTTAATACACAATGTTTTTTTTTACAAATATTGTGGAAATTGAAATGACAAATGACTAAGAATGACAGACTTACTTTGAGCATGAATCAATCCTAAGAGTATCTTCAACATATTTGGGTGTATCCTCATGCCTTGTCTACAATCTTATGACCGAAATTACAAAGAGCTCGACAACATCCATACAGGTCATAGCTTTAGAGCTAAGAGAGAACCCTAAAACTGTTAGAACAGCCAATCATGAAGACCTGGGTCTTAAATCATACATTTGGATGCCAAGACATCTATTTGTGGAGTCCATGGGAAGATTTAAGAACATGCTGAGGTACATCATGAATCATGCATCCTTCTATGTACCATGTCCCTTCAGGATGTTACGATATGCACGTTTTCACATTACTAAGCATATGGTAGAAGAATGAGTTAAAACAATGAAAATTTAAAGCAATAAACAATTGTATTAACAGAAAATACAATAAATGAAAAATCAGGGTAGATGTCTCGCATTCATGTCCTCCCCCCCCATACTAGTAGGATAGTTCTTTTTATAAAAAAAACAAAAAAACGAGGAGAAAAGTGTTGTGAAAGGCATCTGGTGAGGTGTATAGAAGGAGAGGTAGGATAAGTTGTGATTTTGTCAAAGCTGGTTGAGTCTGATGTCTTTGGAGATGGGAGGTTGCTTTTTGACGAGTGTGTGAACTCGGGTCAAGATACTAATGTCCCTTTGATGAGCTTTTATATCCTTTTCAAGGCTCAAATCAGCTCCAGTTTTAGTTTTGTTTCTTTAGTTGGGACTGGTTACTATTGGATGGAACTTCTGGATTGTATTGCTTTACTTTTCTTTGTGTGGGAAGATGTGTGTGGAGCCTTGTGCAGCTGACGGATTTTTAGTTGAATTTTAGGCGTTCGGAGCATTCACATCTGGCTAATGGTGGAAATTAGTATAGCATGAATCAGAAGATCTGATTTTGGGAAGAATGTAACAAGGATGTAGGCAATCATGGCTCTCCACAATCTGATATTTTGCAGCATTTGTCTTTTTACTATCCCTCCCAATCTGTGTTCTGTAGTTTGCTTACTGTCCCCCACCCTCGGGTCCCTTTTGTCTTTGATATATCTGTTAGTGTTAAGCTTTTCAATCTTGGCATCTTCATTGCATTCCAGAAATTTTCAACTCTTACTGTATAAGTAACCTTACTGTTAAAATGTTATCAGAAAAGAAAATCTTCACAGTTATGAATCTGCGAAAACTATTGTTACCTCATGAAGTTCACAGTTGATATGAAGGGTATTTTTAAGACTAAACATCCATCCAAGGTCATGGTCTTGGGACTTATAACCTCTGATGGAACAAAGATACCTCATTCTTTTCCAAGAGAAGAAGTGGGTACTGATTCTTACTACAAGGTTCTAAGGTGCCATGTTTGGTCATGGCTTGAGTCTAACTGCCCCCAAGAAGGGACATAAATAAGGTGAAGCTCATTTTGCTGATTTAGGGCCAGCAAACTTTTGGTTCTCCTCCAACCAGGCTCTGAATGCTATTGTGTAGGGCATTTTGGAACATGCTACCATTAAGGTGTACCATCCCAACATCAATACCCTCAAAGCTACCATGAAGAGGGGGAGACATCCAAGGACTTTGTGGTTAAGAGTTGCGCATCTTTTCAAGTCTCTACTGAGGCTACAATTGAAAATAATGGAAATGACATTTGAGGCGATTGTTTTGATATTATCCTTAAATAAAACTATTTATGTGTAACAATTGAGTTTCAAAGGTCAATAGTCCTGGGTGTAATGATAAACTACATTTGTCAGCAAGGCCTCTGATTGGGAGATTGAAGGTTTTGAGGAGCATAGAACCACCTCTTAACTGCTGTTCTTTCTAGGTCTATGCTGACTTGAGGTGGTAGCACCTGTTAGGGTCCCAGCTATGGGCAAAGAGTGAACTCCCAAACACTATAAAAGTATAAAAATACCAGCAATACATTATTATATATAAAAAAAATTGCCAGTGATACATATTTATAGAATTACTGACATTTTTCAAGCAGAATTACTAACAATAAGTTTTATAGCAAAATGATTAACAACACATTTTATCTGTAGTTGAAGCCATAAAACTGTGTTCAAAATATTTAGATTTTTGCCATTAAATGATCCCTAGAGATTGATATGCCGCTAAACAAAATCAAATCAATGGTCAAAGCAATTTCACAAGTTTTACTCAGTCAGTTACGTACCATGCGTGACATATGTTTAGGCAACCATGTATCTTTCAATACCTGACTGACGAGGCAGATTTTTTTCTGCAGTAGGTTGCCATTTCTTTCTGCAGTAGACCGTTTGCCATCTAAGGCCATAGAACCCAGTCTGTCCTGCTATTTACTCATAGCTGGGTGAAGAAGAGGATTCATGCCTTTCCCAATTATTAGCACGTAAGTGAATGTAATGGATCCAACTGGAATTTGAACTCGGCTCTCTGATTCCTCAATCTGAGCCGCTATCCATTACTCCACCATGCCTCCTCTTCAAGTTTTACTACAGATTTAAAATAGCAGGAGAAAGATTTAAAATGAACATAAAGCTATAAGTAACATCCATGATTTGATGACCAAGCAAAAATGATGAATTTAAAATATTTTTGCTTAAAATTCATAATCATAATTACATTGAATTTAGATAATAAACGAACTTTGCACAATTGAATCTCTTTTATTTATTTTGCTGATATTTTCTGTTGTTCTATTTCTCAACTGCAGTTAATATTGTGTGTATTTCACTAAAAACATCCAATAATAAAGGTAATTAGCTTAGATAATTAGTGGTGCCATTCAGTAATGTGTAGTGGAAATAGAAGCAAAGAATCATCTGTTGATGAAATAGAGAAAAATATTTAAGCAGATATCAAGCCAGAGTAGATGAAGTAAATGGAAATCATTGCTCAGGCCCTTCCTGCTGTCAGCTGTAATAATCATCAAATATAGAAAAACAAAAAAAGTGTCTTTTCATTATAGTCAGATGTTCTTTTCTTTTCTTTTCTTAC